CMAAAGCCCTGGGAGAGGCCAAAGCCGCAGGTCTGGCCAGCTCTGGGCTGAGATTGCTGAGCTGGGCACACCCAGGGCAGTGCGGGATGGCTCTGGGCACATCACGGTGCCCCCAAATCCTTCACCTGCCCCAGAGCTGGTGGCCTCGGGAGCCAGCTGAGACCTGGCTGCTGTGGGACACCGCAGGGATGAGGCTCTGGCGCTGCTGGGCACCGAGGAGGTCCCCGAGCTCCGTGGTGAGGACGGCTGCGTGTGCCTTGCAGGTGGCTGCGTCCCCAACCCGTGCCTGAACGGAGGGACCTGCGTGGAGGAGGGAGCYCATCTCACCTGCCTGTGCCTGCCTGGCTACGGAGGCAGCGGCTGCGAAAGACGTGAGTCCCCCAGGGCCCGCAGTGGCCACGCTGGACTGGCCCTACCCAGCTCCTGCTGCAGTCTGGGCTGCTGAGGAGATGGAAATGTGGGGGAATCAGGAGTTTGGGGTGAGCTGGGCTCCATCAGCCTGACCCTCTCCTCTCTCCCCTCTTGCTCCCGATGTGGCTCAGCCCTGCGGAGGTGCAGCCCGGGCTGGGACAGCTTCCAGGGAGCCTGCTACAAGCACTTCTCCACTCGGAGGAGCTGGGAGGATGCCGAGACCCAGTGCAGGCACTATGGGGGGCACCTGGCCACCATCCTGACCCCCGAAGAGCAGGATTTCATTAACGGTACGTGAACCCTGCTGCACCCCCAGCACTGCAGTGCAAGTTTTAAACAAGAAAGGAGCTGAGAGTCCGGGCAGAGCCCAGACCTGCAGCGCTGCTGGATGGGTGGATGGACACACAGATAGACAGGGGAGAAGATGGACAGATACATGGAGAGACGTGGGGGAAGACAGGTTCAGTCCTGGGCTGCTCAAAGAAAGACTTTGAGCAAGAAAGACTGGGATGTGACCAGGGAAGGGGCTGGAGCACCAGGAGAGGCTTAGGGAGCTGGGAAAGGGGCTCAGCCTGGAGAAAATGAGGCTCAGATGGGACCTTCTCACTCTCCACAAATCCCTGAGAGGAGGGGGCAGCCAGGAGGACATAGGGCTCTGCTCCTAGGGAAAAAGGGACAGAACAAGAGGAAATGGACTCAAGTTGCACCAGGGGAGGATTAAGYTGGATATTGGCAAAATTCCTTCATGGAGAGGGCGGTCAGGCACTGGCACAGGCTGTCCAGGGCAGTGGTGGAGTTCTCATTACTGAAGGGATTTAAGAGACTCGTGTATGTGGCACTTGGGGACAGTGGTGGCCTTGGCAGTGCTTGGACTTGACGATCCTGCAGGAATTTGCAACACAAACAATTCCATGACCCAGTGATGGGTGGACAGATGCACAAAGGGTTGGACAGGTGCAAGAAAATTTGGAGGCAAACCTGCCTGAAAGCATCCATGGAGGGATGGGGGGAAGGCACAGGGAGCTGCAGAGACACTGTAGGGACAGTCAGGGAGCTGCAGGGCGTGACAGGGACCGGCTGAACCAGAAAAGAGACTGGTGGGGCCGGGTGGGGACTGATGCAGACAGCTGGGGAC